CCAAGCCAAAATTTCCTCTTTCTCTTCCAGGGGTAGTATCAGACAAAGGAAAAAAGAAAATCCAAATCTGTGTTTTGAAGCCTTATTAAAATTTTATTTCTGTCTCCAAATCCTTAAGGCATCTCCTCCAACAAAATCCAACCAGATAAATATATTTTTTGTCCTCTCCCTTCCGACTTATCCCATAAAGCTAGTTTTACCTGAAAAAAAAAACAGGTTTCTCAATATCCATTTGTTAATTCCGTCGGGAGGGAGAGTAAACTTTCCTTTCAGCACCTCAGAATTGCCGCTTACTTTCTCTTGTGGAAAGAATCATCCAAAAAGCCATCACTTCCAGGAATTAAATTAAATATATCTCAGAGTCCTGGATCGACCAAGAAGACTTTCACTTTTAAAAACTTTCTCCTCTTCCTCCTGCGCATACTTGCCCAGCTGCCGGCTTCTTTGTGGCGGCCATTACGGACCGCCGCTACGCCGTCTTGGTAAAAGGGGGTTCTGCCGGCCAGGGAGGGGGTCTGCAACACCCCCAAACCCTTTTCCGGATCCCCCCTACCTTCAGCTGCCCCTGCAGGGCAGCCTTGCTCCGCAGCCTTTCGGATCGGAGCCCCAAAAGCGGCTAGCGCGGCAGGGATCGCGCAGCTTCGCGAATCCCTACCGCTCGCAAAGCCGACAAACCGAAAATCCTTAAAGAATTCTTATAGTTAGCATTCCCATCTACCCATTCATTTTTTGCAAAAAAAAAAAAAAAGATAGGAAATAACCTTGTTGTTGACCTGCTGGTCTTTGATAAGATTTTTTTTTTTGTCCACAGCATTGATTAAAGAGAAAGTCAGAGGTTCACAGAATATGTTTTTTAATGCTTTTTGGTATATGTTAATGTTAGAAGTTGTTTATTACTCTTAAAAGAAGTGTTGTTTAATCTGAGGTTTGGGGCCTTTACTTACATTTTTTCGATTGAATTACTGTGTCTCAAGTACTAAACAATGTATTTCCAACTGTACTCCATAGGATTGTATGATAGAGCAAGACTGGGGTAATTTATCCATTGCAGAAAGCTAAAGCATTCTAATATAGAAGAAATTCTCTATATAGAGAGGCATCAAGCAATGAAGGGTTGAGATGTGTAAGTTATTCTTTAATATTTAATAGCATGTAGCTGTTCCTCCACATTTCAATATGAAAATAGAATTTTAATATTATAAAAATATTATTTTGGGTCACCACATTTTCTATAATAAAGGTTCTTTTTTCTGATCAAGACAAATACCATAATCAAGGTCAGAAAGCAAGGAAGATCCAAAGTGATGAGCGTGGTGGGTTAGATGTCACCATTGGACATCTCATGAAGCGTCAGAATAGAAAGAATGAAAATATTTCTGTTGCTAGTTTCCCCATGGAGAGCCCAGGTGCTCCACTATTGAGCTGAGTTTAGGCAGAGGTTTGTCCTCCGAGCTTGCTGCTTGGCTTCTGAACCAGCTAACACAGGGGTGGGGTGTAGGGTTTGAAGATGTTACCTAGCTGGGTAAGGAAATGTCCAGGAGCCATGCAAGCAAGCTCAGAGGACAAACCTCTGCCTAAACCTACAACCCAGGCTACAAATATTCTCTACAATTTCTAAATTGAGCAGAGTCTCAAATAATCCTCAACATGGTCACAAATTCTATGCTGGAGAGATGGGGTGATGGACAGACTGGATCCCACCTAACTCTTCAGCCTTAAAGCTCTTTCAGATAGCCTTGACACTTTCAGCAACTCTCAAGACTTCTTGACAGTTGTCTAAAACTGAAGTTCTCATACACAAGATTTATGGAGATGATAGTGAAAGTGCTGAATTTCACCAACAGGACTATTTCCCATTTAGAATCTCTTCTCTAGAACACTTATTTATTTATTTAGCTCTTCTCATTATGCTTAATCAGAGGCTGCCATAGCATTATGATGAGCAAAATGGCTGAAATCTAATTGTAAATACTGTAGCAATTTACATACGCAAACACTAATTAAAGATAATTGCTGAAACAAATTCATGATTTATCAGTTATCCATTTAAAGAAAAACACCAAACAGGTAAATTATTTCAGCTAGCAAAAAAATAACTTTTCAGAATTCAGATGTTTATCATAAAATATATCTAATAAAGTCATCACTCCTTGGGCCAAAGTGGCTTTATTTGCTATTTATTTATAATAAGTCTATAGCATGTACTTTATATTTAACTGTGCTCACTTCTACTTAATATAGAATTGAGACACATAGAAGAGAAGGAGATAGCACAAACAGTCTAAACTATGTTCTGTCCCTAAATTGTATTTTCAGGTTCTGTCAACTTGAGAATTTAAAGTTAAGAATCTGTTCATTATGCATGTAGCAGAGCTATGCATAATGAACAGATTCTTAACTTTAAATTCTCAAATTAACCATTTAAGATTAAATTAATTGTAACTAATACAACAAAGAATTTAAAAAGGAACGGGACTGTATAGACTGGAGGTATTAGAACCAGCCTCTACAATAGTTAGTCCATATACTAAAATAGCTGTGCATGTAGCAGAGCTATGTTAATATATGGACTAACTAAACAGTAGATTGCAGAGACTTGTTCTAGTACCTCCAGTCTGTACAGTCCTGTTCCTTTTTAAATTCTTTGTATTGGTTACAGTTAATTTAATCTTAAATGGTTAATTATAACAAGCCAATTTCATAACTTTTAGTTTGAAACTGCCATGTTTCATAGACTGTATATAAAATAATCCACAGTCCCTATGAGTATAGAGACATAAAAGCTAACTTCCAGGTTTTTTTAAAGCCATATTGGAGGAAGAAGGATAGTGGTAGTGCTGTATTATAAAAAAGTGCCTCTGAACTATATTATTATTTCCATTCTTTCTTTGCAATTTGATATACAGTAGATATGTGACTAGCTATTTACAGAGATTAAATATTTATTCAAAGACACGGAGTGGGATACTTGTAACCATGGTGAAAGAATCTCCACTATTCAGTATGCCAAACAATTATATTTTTTATAGAGATACTCACAAATTTCAAGTATTGTCCCAAACTCTCTTTGAATAGTATTGTGCTGTTGTAGCCCTACTATATACTTTTGATGAAAAAAGCAGTTCAAAAGTGCTTGACTTGCTAATAAAGTATAAGTGAATAGCATGTGTTATGTTTTACCATGTTTTAATTCTTTATTAAAGCCCAGGCAAAATAAAACTTATTTATATACTGAATAAATGTTTAGACTGTGCAATCTTACGTTTTCAGCAATTTTACAAAAATAAAAATCCACAACACAATATACAGGTAGTCCTTGACTTACAACTGGTTATTTAATGAACATTTGAAGTGACAGAGACCTCCCCAGGGGTACTTATGGCCTGGTTTCAAAGTTCTGATGCCCCCCCCTTGGTCACATGACCACATTTCATGCCATCAGCAATCTGTCTGCATTTATGACCATGTGCAGTGTCCCATATTCGAGTGGCCACGTTTTGCAAAGTTTTTATCAAAACCTGGTATTTATTTCTAGTTTTGGTAATCCACAGCAAACCACTGGTTCACTTAACAGCCATGGCAGTCACTTAATAACTGCAACAAAAATAAAAAAAGTCAGTCATGTGGGGGACTCACTTTACAACCATCACAACTTACGTGATCATAAATCAAGGAATACCTGTAAACTAAAAGAGTTAAAACTGTTAAAGAAATCAAAACAACTTTCCACTTGCAATTAACAATTGCAGTGGGACTATGTTAATTAATTAAAAGCCCTTCCTTTTGATAAGTTTCCAAAAAGCCAGCAGGGTCAAGACATCTGAATTTCTGAGGGAAGGATATTCTGCAGTGGTGGGATAGTAATCAAGAAGTATCTCTTCCTAGCACTGATCCCTAATTTTGCAAAAGTACAGGAACATCAACATTTTTTCCTATGTATTGGCCAAGCCAATTCTGGTTGAAAGATGCTATTCTGAGAGTCCTTTGATCCCAAGTCTCATTTGACGTTATAAGATAATTGTTTTCAGCTTCTGTAAGTAAATATCCTTTCTGTTCCTGTCTATTCTTGATGTTCATGGACATTATAGTTTCTACTAAGATGGTACAGATTCTTATGAAGAGTTGTTTCAGAATATATGCATGCACTTGTGGCAAGAACAGGGAATAGTTTCTTAAGCAACTATATAAGCCAGAAAAAACTACAGGTGCTATAATTATTTGATGGAAGGTACTTGTGTGGACATACTAAAGCACCTGTTTCAAACAGCACTGACACTTTCAGCAACTGACAAGATTGCTTGGCAGTTGTCTAAAACTGAAGTTCTCATTCACAAGGTTTATGGAAATGGTAGTGAAAGTGATAAATTTCACCAAACGGGACTATTTCCCATTTAGAACTTTTTTGTCCTCTAGAATAGGAGTGCTTAAATCTGGCCCATGGTGCCGACCTCGAAATAGCCAAGGACCAGCCCGCGGTGCCTCTGGCAGCCAACTTCCCCACTGCCTGTTTTGCCCGGCAGGGTGATACAGGAGGCCATCCAGGCCAAAAACAGGGCATGGGAGCCTCACACAGCCTCCTTATGACCGGTACATGTACTTTCAAACCCCTTGCTTTTGATGGCATTCAGTTGAAAGGGATGTATCTCTATTGTAGACCAATTGTTTGATTTGTTTTCTTATTTTACAAAATGTATCTCATGATGCTGTCTCCATATGCATTCTTGACTTCCACTTCCCTGCTGTCTATTGTAGGTTGGCATATCTTTTATGTTTTTTTTCTGAATCCTAGTAACATCTACAGATGCTACTCTTATCTCTCTATTCCTTTTCCAAAAACTCTGCTTTCCTAAATATATTTAGCAATGTAATATGGTGAATTAGAATTCTTGGTGGCCTTCTATATAAGATCAGTGAAGGACCTGTTTATGAACAATTCTTGTTAATTTAACTCTTTCTGTAACATTTTTGTACATACCACAAACCTCACATGAGGTTTTGCTTTGAAAACAAATTCAACGATTTAATAATTCTATTAAATACATTCAGCAATTACAGGCTCTCTGACATTGAAGTTATTTTCAAATATTTTACAGCTGAGTCATCTATCCAAGGCATCTGTCACACAGACGGTAACCAGTTTGCTGCAAACTACATTACAGAATCAGTGATTTACAAGTTTGATAGTACAGTAGTGACTCAAAAGAGATTAAATATCCGTGCCGAAGCCTTTTTAAGTACTGTATGGTATATCACAACAAATCCATTAATGATCCAAGAGGGAGGACTTCACTTAGATTATAGATTAGAAGTGGGCAAGACATATTCAAGAAATTTAAAATCTCCCACATTTGTAGAAGCAAAACAAATGTCACACACTTCAGAAAGAAAAACATGGCAATTTTAATATTGTGCACAACTTATAGTTATGAAGTGATTCTTTTCTTTTTGTACCTGGAACTATTTAAATGTGACTGCCCACCTGACATACTTATTTAGACATGCAAAAGGTAGAAATGAAACTTCAGCAATCAGAATTTTGGGAAAGTCCATCTCCTGCTCACCATTTTGTACTGAAAATTGTGAGAATGTAAGTCAGCACCTGCTTTAGTTCTTGTTGGCTGATAATCTGCTGAAGAGGGATGGATGGACTCATTGCATTTGAATAATTTAATTAGTACTGCGTAAGATAAACAACCAGCTCTATTTAGAAATGCCCTTTATGTTTCTAATTAGGGCTGGTGTTCACATTGCCTAGTTCCAAATCAAATTTAAGAATGATCAAATGAATTAATTGTTTTTGTAATAAGCTTCATTTTGACTCTCTGCCTTATAATGTATATTAATTCTCTGAAAATTGTAGGAAATGTTTATAGTGTGTTTCTTCTGGAAGCAAGAATTGTGGTGCATTACACTTGAGCACTGTAATTATTTGGAAAGAAATGGGCCTTGTTTGTATAGGGTTTCATTTTATCACAACTGAGAAATATTGTATGCTTGGACCTTTTGATCTTGGATCCTTGAAATATATTTGCAATTTAAGTCCTGTAATTTCCACCAAATGTCATGCTCTCTGAAAATTATGGGAGTTAATGTCCAGCACGTTTGGTGATTATAAAACTGAGAAAAGTTGTGTAAGAGGCTTTTGTTACATAAGCTTCTGCTACCAACTTCAGAATTGGGGGCCAGCTCCTCAGAAGTCCTTATTTGAAAGACGTGTGTGTGTGTGGCTAAATCTGAAAACAGGTTTTATAGTTTTGAAGTAATCCTGAAAAAGCCTACTCATGCTGCTTGTTTTCTTAAATATGTACTATGTCCAAAGCTTTTCTGCAGTTGGAGAAAAAGGATCAACAAGAAGTGGCGTTGAATCAGTCTTCCCTAGGATCAAGGAAAAACTACTCATTCACAAATGACGAAGTACGACAAATTGATCGGGAAAACCAAAGGCTCTTAAAAGAATTGACAAAGCATTCTACAAAACCCAGAAACAAAAGTGCCTCAGTGAAGAAACCTTCAGGCTCAGCACCTAAAATGTACCACAGTGCCATCAACAGGCAGAAGGAACAGCAGAGGATCGACAGAGAGAATCTGGTTAGTTGAAGTTCTGGATTTAACAATATTAATTAAAAACTAGACTTCTTCGACTCAGTATGTTAGGCAAATCTGTCCACATGGTTTGAGGCTCATGATAGATAAGATCCAAGCAAATTGTATTGCATTGTGTAAACCATGGGCTTTCAAACTATGACTTAATACATCGTGTAGACCACATTTGTTCTGTCCTCTGAGAAGTGGATGTAATCTTATTAAACCACAAAGCTCTCCTATAATTCAATTGTACTAGGAGTAGAAGAAAATCTGTCAACTGAATGCTGCCTATTTATAAGTGCTTGCTCTGGGTGGGAGAGATAAAAATCCATTATCTGAAAGTATCCAAATAGGGATAAAAATATATGGAGGCACTAGAAATAACACTGTCTAATGAACTTCAGGATTGCTACCCAAACATAAAGATGCCTACTTATCTCAAATTTTATCAGAACAATGAGACTTCAAATGGTTCCTCAACTGATGGTCCTTGGTTGTAGGTTTGTCATATACGACTACTATTTTGTTTCATTTTTTATTTAATGTTAATACAATTGACAGAAAAATTCTTTTAACCCATCTAATATGCTTGTTTCCTATTCAATTTCTTGCCTGATATAATGCAGTTCATATATCTACACTTTCCTTTTTCCACTCAGTTGTGTCCAAATCTTGGAGGCTGCCTAGACAAGTCCCTGCAGTTTCCTTGGCAAAGCTTTTCAAAAGAGGTTTGCCATTGTTTCCTTCGTAGGACTGAGAGAACATGATTAGCCCAAGGTCATCCAGTTGGCTCTGTTCCTGAGGTGGGACTAGAACTCAACAGTCTCCTGGTTTCTAGCCAGATACCTTAGCCACTACATTAACCTGGCTCTTGTGACCTGCAGCAATTTCACTTAAATTTAAGCAAGATTAACTCTGTGCTGGTTTAGGGAACATGTAGCTTCAACCCTGTTTTCTCCCTCTTTTAATTTCTCTATAGTACAAAGAATAAATATTTGAACTTCGTTGTAATAGTATTTGTATATCTTTGAATTATGCAATGTTGTTGAAATATCTTGCTATGTGTTTGTGTTTACATGTCTATATATATTTGTGTGTGTGAACCTAAAATGAAATTATTTTCACAATTGAGCATCTACTTTAGATATAAGAAAAATCAACCAGAAAGGAATTCATTGATCTCAGTAACAAGCAAGAAAAAAAACCTGATTGATGTAGATAGTAGCAAAGGAATATATTAAGTCATTCTATCATTTTATTTTAGCCGTTGATTAGCAAACACACATTATGTTGTCATAACACACAGCTATAGCCCACAACTTAAAGCAGAAATAATTGAAAAAATAGCCAACGGTCAATTTCAATTTCTGTAGCTGCTTATTCCACTACCACTGAATCGCTGTAGTAACTATAGCAACTGATCTTGAGGCAAATGAAAACTCATCTTCTGTGTAATACTTCCTTACCTAGAACTGCTCAAATGTTAATGATGTAATTTTGCATGAAGAAAAATGTTTCTATTGGATCTGTAATGTAATATAGAGAAGAGTGGGGAATGAATTTACCCAGATGAAATTGACCTTTTGATCCTAATTTTTGATGCTATATTCTATTTCTAAAATATTCAGAATTTTAGGCTGCAATCAAAAGCCACAACATTTAGTTCCTTATTAATATTCTAAAAATGCATGAATACATGCACATACTCATAGAGAACATCCCAAGAAACCTCTCGGGTGGCTTCTTTCTGCACATTTTCTATTTTTCATTCTTTTGAAATGGAATAATTACAGTCTTTGTTTATAGTCTGCATTTTGGATTCCTGAGACAGTGGTTGGATGACTGACTCTATTTGAACAATCATATTCTGGGATAATAACCTAGGATATGCACAAGATTCCTGCTCCATACACAACAATTTTTCTGTTTCCATTCAAATCACAAAATGGAGTACCAGAACATAGAAAAGGAACTATTGTAAACACATTTATTCAAATAACAATGCAAACATCTGAAACTAGCATAGAATATAAGAGCTTTATAAAGTAAAATCCACACCCCCTTAGAACATCATTGGCTTTTTCTGCTGCTGTGCTAAGACATCAGGTGACCACGAGATCAGGTGGACAATCATCTGTGATTTCCTATGGAAATTCATCTCCAATGAGACTTGTTTGGCCTCGCTCACACTGTCATATTTAATGTGATGAAGTTGTCTCCATTCTCACATAGACAGGAGGGCTTCCCAACAGCCATTTCAAGTTAGTGTACTCCAGTTGTGTTGAAAAACAGTGTTATCATTCTAGTGAGAAAGTAATGTAATTGTAACCCAAGACATCAGAGATTGTGGAGGGCTAGTTTTGATTAAGAAATTCTGGTATCCCAAGTCATATTATATTAAGGAATGCATTATCTATTAATCAATGTATGTGTATATTATTAAAGGCTTTTTTGAAAAGACTTGAAGCAGTGAAACCAACAACTGGCATGAAGCGCTCAGAACAGCTCACTGACTACCAGCGGCAGATGGGCTACTTTCGCACTTCTGGAACTCCGAGGCGAGGAAAGTCTGCCTTGAATCATCAGAGTCCATCTAGTAAGTCATTCCAGAATCTTCATCTGCTAATTTCAGTTTGATTAAAGTGTGGGGAAAAAAACCCTCCCTGGCCTTTATTTCTACCGGATAGGGAATGAAATCAAATCTGATCATCTGCTATGCCTTAATTTTTTATTCACTATGCAAGGAAATTATGTTTATCTCCTTTTATACTTTTTCTAATATTTATAGGTTATTTAATATTTGCATGTTTATCGAGGTCATTTTTTTAATCGGCACAAATAACATCATTTAACCCTAAGGATTGAATCTAAACATTGTACGGTACAAATAGCACTTGCCCAAAGTGAGTTGGTCCTACATCTTGCCAAGCCCTCTATACTACATGCATGCTGATCTCCTAAGCCCAGAATAAGTGAGTGACTACCTCCAAGAGCAGCAATAACAGTGACCAAGGTTACCTTTTTCATAAGCTGCATCCCACCTGCTGGTGTTCAAATCCAGAGAGTATTTCTGATCCTGTTCTACTATGTGGTTTAATGTTTATACTGTTTACTTAAAGTTGCTTAAGTATATATTGCTTACTTAAAGCTCCATATGATCTCTTTTGTGTACAATTTTGACAGGAGGTACATCCCGAACTTCCAGTCATAGTGCATCCAGTACTATAAATCGAAGGAGTGAAAAACCAGTTTTTGATAAATGGTGCACTGCAACAGTTGAACCCCAGTAACATTCATGGCGCCTGGTTATAAATAATTTGCACTTCGCTATCAGATTTCTAATCTCTGGTGGTTTGGGGATTACTGTAATTCTGTGCAGGACTGTTGTAATATTGAATAATTAAAGGATACTGGAAAGTAGTATTAACTATAAATGGATACAATCTTGATTCTTTTTTTCCCATCTTTCTAATGTGTGTTGGACGGTATCTTTATAGTCAGTATTTCTTAAAACAATACTTGTATTAAAAAGTGGCAACATTGCAAACCTTATTTTCTCAAAGTCAAATGAAATTGAGGTTTGAAAAATATGGGTTAGGGTAGACCAGAAATGTAAAACAATATAATAAAATTTCATTTGTTTTTAGTCTTAAATTTTTAATTTCTTACCATGAAATTCAATGTAATTTTGTTATTGCAAACTTTTAATTTCATAATTTATAAGATCTAATAAAAATGTTAGATGGAGAGAACATATACAACTTGGCCTTGGTGCTGTCAGTTACAACATGGAAATCATAAACTGAATCTTTTTAGATCAGTTCTCCAATTTTAGAAATGTGGATTTAGATAAGCATTTAAATAAATGTAAAAAGTATTGTCTATTATCTAGAATTCTAAAGAACTTGTACTGTAATGTGTTAACAATTTTGGTCTGTGATATATTTGCACAATTATATTTATTAAATTATTCTCTAAAAATTTGTTTCTTGAAGTAAAAATGAACAGAAATCTTGTGGGTGCATTTCTTAAATCTTGGCACTTTGGAATCTCCATAAGCATATTTTTCTTTGTCAAAAACTATGAAGTGTGATTAGTTATGAAGGTATGAAAATTGTACATCTGTCATTTAAAAATTAAGTAAAATATTTAATTGAATTACTTCAGTGTGCAGTTCTTTTCTGTAATTTGAGTCAAATACTGTGAATAGGTTTTAAAAATCACATTCTGCTTTTAATTGTATTTATAATAGCTGTCTGCTCCAGAATATTACTTGGATTCTCCATCATTCATTGATTTAAGAAATAATTTATAGTTAATTTCCTGTTTGAATTCCATATGCATTTATCTTAATATCTCTAGGTTATAAAAAGTTCTAATCTATCTCAATTATCTGTCCATAATTATCTGTACAATGTAACGGTAAACTTAGGTTTGTATTTAAAATACATACATGAACAAAACATTTGCTTTTTAATTAACAAGTGATACATGAAGAGGCACCAAGGCTCTGCAATCACAATTAAATGCAAGTATTGAAGTAAAACAAAAGCAAAACTATGGAGTTAAGCCTGATTTTCTTTATAAATAGGAACAGTATCAAGGGAGAATGCAACAAGATCTAGAAGCCATTTATTACCCACAGTATGCTTTGCATTTCAATACCTTTCCTAATGATTTCAAACACCATTTCTGTATATTGGGATTTTTTTTTCAAAGTGGCTGTGGTATTTGCACCATAAATAAAGTCCTCGAGTTCATTTTAGGATTTTATCTGCACTACTATGCAGTTTTATATTTTAAGTACTTATGGAAAAAGAACCTCAGAACATAAGGAATTTACACTGCTCAAAAAAATAAAGGGAACACAAAAATAAGACATCCTAGATCTGAATGAATGAAATATTCTTATTAAATACTTTGTTCATTACATAGTTGAATGCTGACAACAAAATCACACAAAAATTATCAGTGGAAATCAAATTTAACAACCCATGGAGGTCTGGATTTGGAGTTACACTTAAAGTGGAACAAAACACTACAGGCTGATCCAACTTTGATGTAATGTCCTTAAAACAAGTCAAAATGAGGCTCAGTAGTGTGTGTGGCCTCCACGTGCCTGTATGACCTCCCTACAGTGCCTGGGCATGCTCCTGATGAGGTGGCAGATGGTCTCCTGAGGGATCTCCTCCCACACCAGGACTAAAGCATCCCCCAACTCCTGGACAGTCTGTGGTGCAGCGTGGCGTTGGTGGATGGAGCGAGACATGATGTCCCAGATGTGCTCAATTGGATTCAGGTCTGGGAAATGGGTGGGCCAGTCCATAGCATCAATGCCTTCATCTTGCAGGAACTGCTGACACACTCCAGCCACATGATGTCTAGCATTGTCGTGCATTAGGAGGAACCCAGGGCCAACCGCACCAGCATATGGTCTCACAAGGGGTCTGAGGATCTCATCTCGGTACCTAATGGCAGTCAGACTACCTCTGGCGAGCACATGGAGGGCTGTGCGGCCCCCTAAAGAAATGCCACCCCACACCATTACTGACCCACTGCCAAACCGGTCATGCTGGAGGATGTTGCGGGCAGCAGAATGTTCTCCACGGCATCTCCAGACCCTGTCATGTCTGTCACATGTGCTCAGTGTGAACCTGCTTTCATCTGTGAAGAGCACAGGGTGCCAGTGGCAAATTTGCCAATCTTGGTGTTCTCTGGCAAATGCCAAACGTCCTGCACAGTGTTCGGCTGTAAGCACAACCCACACCTGTGGACATCGGGCCCTCATACCACCCTCATGGAATCTGTTTCTGACCGTTTGAGCAGCCACATGCACATTTGTGGCCCGTTGGAGGTCATTTTGCAGGGCTCTAGCAGTGCTCCTGTCCCTCCTTGCACAAAGGCGGAGGTAGCGGTCCTGATGCTGGGTTGTCCTCCTACGGCCTCCTCCACGTCTCCTGATGTGCTGGCCTGTCTCCTGGTAGCGCCTCCATGCTCTGGACACTACGCTGACAGACACAGCAAACCTTGCCACTGCTCGCATTGATGTGCCATCCTGGATGAGCTGCACTACCTGAGCCACTTGTGTGGGTTGTAGACTCCGTCTCATGCTACCACTAGAGTGAAAGCACCGCCACCATTCAAAAGTGACCAAACCATCAGCCAGAAAGCATAGGAACTGAGAAGTGGTCTGTGGTCACCACCTGCAGAACCACTCCTTTATTGGGGATGTCTTGCTAACTGCCTATGCTTTCCACCTGTTGTCTATTCCATTTGCACAACAGCATGTGAAATTGATTGTCAATCAGTGTTGCTACCTAAGTGGACAGTTTGATTTCACAGAAGTGTGATTGACTTGGAGTTACATTGTGTTGTTTAAGTGTTCCCTCTATTTTTTTGAGCAGTGTATATCTAGTAAATATTCTAGTCATCAGAAGGCATCAGGAAATTGAGGTAATACGTTTTATTTGTTCACATGTATAAGTAGTTTATATGTAAACTACTTAGTAATGCAAATGTGATGACCTAGGGCGTGGCACAAAGGCAACACAGTCACATAAGTAAAAAGAGCCCCTTTATTACCTCCAATTTTGCTCCCAATGTCCAGGTTACCTTTGGCTGGAGAAAAACTTCCAAGAACAGTCTTTATGTGGAGGAAATTCAATCCAAAAACAAAGTACATACAAACTGTAAATAAAAATCCACACGAACCACGCTGCAGTAATTAACTTGACAGGGCAGGAGAAGGAATTGCAGACTTGAAAGGCCAGCAAAACACACACAGTTGGGAAGACACCAGGAACCCAGATAAGCCTCAATAATGCCAGATAATGATTTGCTCTCAACAGTTGGCTGTGCGCAACTTCTCTTTTTAAACACTGTTCCCAGCTGCAGCTAATGAAGAATCAGGGCCCTTTCTTCCCCCATAAGCCACGCAACTCAAGTTGCTCCTTTCTCCGTTCCTCCCTGTGAGCCCTAGGATGAAGAGGGGGTGGGCCTGGGTTTTCCTCTGAATTCCCTCTGCCTTGCTCTACCTCTCCCTGCTCTGCCCAGCCGGACTTTGCCCTTCCCCAGTTTCTTCCACAGCCAACACAGCCACACTCCCACTCCCAGTCAGCTGCTCGGCCTCCCCCTCGGAATCAGATTCCGACAGGGGCATGACAGCAAAGGTACAAACAATTATATGCAGCTTTTAAAATATTTTAGATAGGACTGAATACTAAAAATTATCACTTTACTGTAATTTCTGATATGGCATAAATGGGAAGTACTAAATGCATGAACAATTTTTTTGCGTTTTTAACTGAAAATGCAATCAGATTTAACATCTACTCAGCTCCCAACTGTGAAGAATACTGCAAAACTGAATATAAACAATAGACATTTCTAGAGGAAGATGAAAGTTCAATTTCATTGATTAGGAGACATACTTTTTTTGCACATTGACTTTATCTCAGTTCTCTCACACACTGATGTCATGAGATCTATTCCTAGAATGCCTCTAAATATGACCCAAAAATGGTATCTATGTTCCAAGAAACTCATTAGATATAGTCATAGTCCATAAGGTTGAAGATAAGGTTAATGAGGGGAAGGGAGCAAGGAATATCAGAAAATTAAATTGTACCTTTAGACCTGCAAGATTTTGCTATCATAGCCTTACAGTAAAGTGGAGTTCACTCATCTAGTCGTGTTTTGTATCTGGTTTATCTGGCTGGGCTGCCAGGCCCACGGCCAGAGATGACACAGTGAAGTCCAATTGGGTTCAGTCCTTTTATTTGCTTACACTTAAATGAACAGAATCTTGCCATACTCAAGCTATGTATGGCCTTCTAACCTACTACAGTAGATATATATCCTGAGAGATTCCAGATGTAGCTATCCTAAACTCCCCCCCCCCTCCAATCCAACTCAGGATTGCTCAATCTCTTAATCTGGATTTATTTCTGGGAAAGCTCTGCATTGCCAAAACTCTTCCCCACTGCTTCTCCAGATGCCCATTCCATCACAAAGGCTGACAATAATAAGCAACCCATGACTCATTGGGTCATCCTTTTCACATATATTATAGGCAGGTCCCATTATCTCTCCCCTCATGACCCTCAGTAGAGCTCTGATGAAGCAGACGACTCCTCAGGTCAGCTGCTGAATTGCCTGCTACTTTGCTGGTGGGTAGGGAGAACAAAGGGAGCCACAGAATGCAAGGAAAACTACCCTCACTCGCCAACCCCGCATGTCCCCAAGTCCTCTTTCCCTCAAGAAGGGTTCACCTATTGATCACTGGCCCTCCTTAGCCAGCTCAATGTTGTCTGCAGGCATCTAAGTCACTCCTTTATTGTCCCCTCACCACTCGCTGCCATTAAAAGATTTCAAATTTTGGCCTCAGTTTCAAAGCAGCCAATCACTGGTCACCTGCCTGGCCTTGTTGCCAGCTGATTGGATACAGGGAGGGAGAGTGGGGATACACTCCTCTCATATTATCTTGTGCCATGCAACCTCTGGGTTTCTGGGAAGTATAGGGCAGCACTGAAACGATGACAAACCTTTGCCAAATTTCAATCCCACGGAAACAATTCATTGGTTTTGAATGGATGCTGTATGTTACTCTGAGGCAAAATCTGTCAAGGTGTAGATTTCAAACAAAGTGCTGTCACTGAATGTTCTAGCAGCTCAAGCTGCTTTTGTTTTTTCTGACAATTACAAACAAAATAAAATGGATGCTGTTACCATATGTTGAAGATCATACAATACTAAACTGAATAAGAAAACTGCAGGTGAGCTGTATCTGACTATACAATAATCTTCAACTTATAAACAATTGAGCCCAACATTTATGTTGCTAAGTGAGACAGTTGTTAAGTGAATTTTACTTCTTTTTATGACCTTTCTTGCCACAGTTGTTAAGTGAATCACTGCAGTTGTTAACCTAGTAACACAATTGTTAAATGGATCTGGCTTCCTCGTTGACTTTCTTTGTCAAAGGGCCGCAAAAGGCGATCATATGACCATGGGCCTCTCCAACCATAATAAATATGAGTCACTTGCCAAGCATTTGAATGTTGATTACATGGCCATGGAGATACTCCAATGCTTGTAAGTGTGAAAAATTGTCATGAGTCACCTTTTTCAGTGCCCTTGTAACTTCGGTCACTAAATAAACTG